GGCACAGAAGTTAAACTAACTGGTCTGTAGTTACCTGGGTTGTTTTTATTTCCCTTTTTATTAGATGGGCACTATATTTGCCCTTTTCCAGTCTTCTGGAATCTCTCCTGTCTCCCATGACTTTCCAAAGATAATAGCTAGAGGCTCAGATACCTCCTCTATTAGCTCCTCTATTATATAGTCTTTTCCAGGTGTACGAACACCTCTTTGTTCTTACTGTGAAAAATTACAGCAAAATAGAGTCTGGAGTCACATGGGCAAGTTCCCGCATACTTTGCTGAGTCTGAAGGCATATTTGCCTTCTCTCAATGGGTCCATTGTATAGCTGATGGTCCTTAATGGGCCATCAAGCAGGCTAGGCAGAGCTAACACCAGTTTGTCTGGGATGTCACCCAGCAGCATAGCATAAGTTTGCCATACAGACAGTATAGAGCCAATATTCATAACTTTAACTACAAAATTGATACACACATATAGACAGCATAATCATAACCAGTAAACCATAACCTTGTCTTAGACACCCCATTTGACCCCCTTTATACAAGATTTGCCTGCCACTACAGGACCTTGGTTGCAACAATGATCTATATGGTCCCAGATTATATCAATAACGTCACAGGGGCCGCGGCCGGGCTCTCCGCCCTCCTCCCGGCGCTAGGGGCCCCTGCTGCGCTCCCTGCCGGGACGCTTTTTTGCCTGGGGCGGCAAAAAAGCCAGAGCCGGCCCTGGTGGGGCTCCTGGCATGCAGCCCATCACCCGGCTTGGGCACCCTGGGCTGGACGGCACACAGGGTGCCCACTCAGAAATTAGCATGGTGAAGCTGTGGGGGCTGCATGCCACCAGGCCAGATTGCCAGGCTGACACAGCCTCCCCCCCCCACCCCCGAGGTCAGCACACTGCTCCAGAAGAGGGAGAAGTGCCCCAGAGGTCCCCTGGCTGGACAGCCTTAGGGGTGGAATGGGTGGTGGTTGCTGCCCCTAGAGCCTGAGATCTGGTTGTGGGTGCAAGGATCATTGGCCGTGACATGTCCTATCCCTGTCTCCCCCTGCCCCCCCACCCCCAGTGTGACACTGCCCCTGCACTGCCCAGGCCACTCTGCAGGGAGGGACCAGTGTGGCCTGGCCCAGCCAGTGGGGTTCTTCTGCAGCCTCCGCTCCTCCCAGGCCTGCCTCTGTCCCAGGCTTGGTGATTCCAGCTCCCAGGGTCTTTCCTCGCAGGACTCTTGCTGTCTCCCCTCTCTTCTCTGGCCCTTCTGGGTCCCTGCCGAGGCAGGGATCGGGGCTCCGTAGGCCCTGGCTCAGCCTTCCCTGCTAGTCCCCTGCCCACCCCCTCGGGGCTCCCTGTGTGACAGCTGTTCCTCTCTCCCAGGGCCATGGCGTGCTGGAAATGCCCTCAGGGACTGGGAAGACCATTTCCCTCCTGTCACTCATTGTGGCCTACCAGCGGGTGAGTGCCAGGCGAGAGCTGGGGGCGGGGGCTGCCAGGTGTGTGTCTAGGGGTCCACTGGGAGAGTCACTTTCCCCCGAGACCAGAGTGGCTGGGCGGCAGGTGCTGGCCGAGCACTGGCGCTATCCCGCAGACCTCGTGGGTGGGTCTGGGCAGGGGCTGGAGCTGCCTCTGCTTGCTCCACTGGCAGAGCCCTGAGCTGGGGACTCTTGGGGTGGGGGTCAGGGCCCTTTCTGGGCAGGCTACGCCCCTCAGCTCCCATAGCCAGGTGGGAGTGCTCACACCACCATCCCTAGGGCTGTAGCTGTGACGGTGGTGGGGAGGGGAAAGCAGCCTGGAGAGTTTGGTGCCCTGGCTGCTCTAGGCTCAGCATTGGTGGCCTCTGGGGTTAGCGAAGCCCCATGCCATCCAGTAATGCAGGTGCCTGGCGTTTCTCCCCAGGCCCATCCGCTGGAGGTGACCAAGCTGATCTACTGCTCCAGAACCGTGCCTGAGATTGAGAAGGTGACCAGTGTGTGGGGGGGATGGACCTGTATGCGGTGGGGCCCCTTGTGGCCCCGTGTTGGGGAATCATGGGGGGGCCCCTTGCTGCCCTGTGGTGGGGAGATCGTGGGGGAGCCCCTCACTACCCTTGTGGGGGGAGGGAGAGTGTGGGGGGGATGGTGACGGGATCCTTGCTGCCCCAGGGGAGAGATGTGGGGGATGGTGACAGGGCCCCTCACCGCCCTGGGAGGAGGAGGTGGGGGGATCGCAGCGGGGCCCCTCGCTGCCCTGTGGGGAGATGGGTGTGTTTGGGAGGATGTGGGGGATCATGGTGGGCTCCTCACCACCCCTGCTCCGGCAGGTCATTGAGGAACTACGGAAGCTCCTGGATTTCTATGAGAAGCGGACGGGGGAGAAGCTCCCCTTCCTCGGCCTGGCTCTGAGCTCCAGGAAGAACCTCTGCATCCACCCCGAGGTGAGTCGGTTCTGGGCTCCCCACCCTTGGGTCCCTGGTTCTGGGGCACAGCCAGGAGTCAGCTGCCCGGCAGGCTGGGGGAGGACCCCAGGGCTGCTCTGCCCTCTGTGCCTGCCGCCCCATGGCCAGGCTCTCTGGTCAGGGGCCTGCCCTGGGCAGGGGCTGAGGCTGCTCCATGGAGTGACTGTGGAACTGCTGCCCCCTGCCCTCCCCTCCTCCAGAGCCAGATCCCCCTGCCCTGCCCCTTCCTGTGCATGTCCTGGCCCGAGAGAGTGACAGGTGACTCCACTGCCCTGTGTGCCCCAGCAGCTGCCCCTTTATATGAGCATGTGTGGTTGAGTCTCAGACATGTGCCAGTGATCACCGCACTGACTGGATAGCGGGGCAGCGGCTCAGGAGTGAGGGACACCAGCAGAGCTGCGGGGAGCCCAGGGCTGGGCTAGCAGGGGGGCTGCAGGTCGGGAGTGAGGGGCACAGACAACCGTGGGGGTGGAGCCCAGGGCTGGGCTGGCAGGGGGGCTGTGGGTCGAGATTGAGGGCCAGTGGCAGAGCTGGGGGGAGCCCGAGGGCTGGGCTAGCCGGGGGGCTGCGGGTCGGGAGTGAGGGGCACAGACAGAGCCGTGGGGGGGGAGCCCAGGGCTGGGCTAGCCGGGGGGCTGCGGGTCGGGAGTGAGGGGCACAGACAGAGCCGTGGGGGGGAGCCCAGGGCTGGGCTAGCCGGGGGGCTGCGGGTCGGGAGTGAGGGGCATTGGCAGATGAGGCAGGGAAGGGGAGACAGCCCCCCCGTGCGTTACACATGGTGCTCTCCAGAACTGAGGGCTCCGTGGCCAGGCGTCCTTGGCTCTTTGCCTGGCCTGACAGCTGCTCGTTGTAGGTGAGCTCACTGCGGTTCGGGAAGGAGGTGGACAGCAAGTGTCTGAGCCTGACGGCGTCGTACGTGCGGGCACAGCAGCAGTGGGACAGCGCCATCCCCTCGTGCCGCTTCTTCGAGGTAGCAGGGTTCCTGGGCAAGGGTCAGCTCTTCCCGGCCCATGGGGCCAGCCTTCCCCTCCCGGTCCCAGCCCAACTCGCAGCCCTTCCCGGCCCATGGGGCCAGCCTTCCCCTCCCAGGTCCCAGCCCAGCTCTCAGCCCCTCCCAGCCCATGGGGCCAGCCTTCCCCTCCCGGTCCCAGCCCAGCTCTCAGCCCCTCCCAGCCCATGGGGCCAGCCTTCCCCTCCCAGTCCCAGCCCAACTCGCGGCCCCTCCCAGCCCATGGGGCCAGCCTTCCCCTCCCGGTCCCAGCCCAGCTAGCAGCCCCTCCCAGCCCATGGGGCCAGCCTTCCCCTCCCGGGAGGTGGCAGGGCAGGGATTTGACACGCCAGCTGAGCACTGTCACTAGAACCGAAGGGCTACTGGGATGCTTCCCAGGGGTACCCCAGGCTGTGAGGCACCTCGCTGCCATCTGCCGGCGCACGCAGGAGCCTTGTCTGTGCCAGCCGGGCTCAGCTCCACTGTCCCTCTGCGGGTTAGCAATAGGCACACGCCAGCGCCCGCATGCAGCATTCACAGATCCGCTGGCCCAAAGCGCCCAGCCCGGCTCCCCAGTCCCAGCCCAGCTCGCAGCCCTTCTGTTCGTTTGTACCGAGAACCAAGCGAAGCTCGTGGGACAAAGAGCAAAGGTTCGAGGGAGAAGTAAAATCCTAACCTGCCATCCAGATCCCAGACGTAACTCACCAGCCGCTCGCCTGTCTGAGGGGGTGTGGCGCGCGGGTTTTCTCCCAGCGTTTCCCAGCCAGGCCGGCCATGACCCTGCGTTCATAAGACAAACCTGCATGGGCCCGGGTGGGGATGATCTGTGTTCCTCAGGCACACCGGCCTTGGTCTTTGATCTTAGGCGTAAGCAGGGCGCCGCCTGCTGCGTTCCAGAGCTCGTGTGGTGTGGTGGCAACTTTGCAGTCTTGGTTAGCTGGTGGCTTCCTATGCCAGTGGACTCTCACTGTAAAACACACGATACCCAGGAGAGACACGGCCAGTATCCCCTCCCGAGCTGAACCAGTGCATCGCCTCCTGGTCGTAACTCACAGGCCTTAGGACGACACTGATAGCCACCACCTCAGACGCTGTCCTGTGACCAGCCGGCTAGGGGCTCTCACTAGAGACCGCACATGCCACCCGTTGGTGCAGAATGATGTAGACATCATACCCAGGGGATCCCCGTAAACCCGTCTGCACCCCGAATGCCCTCTGCCAGGTGGCACCAAGAGGTCTGCCCTCCCCGGGGGAAGCTCCTGGCCCCATTGGCCAGTCCAGGACACCGGCGAAGAGGAGACCTGCTCTGCTGCCCCGGCTGCCGGCACTTGCCATTCACGCTGCTGGGAGGCGTCCCCGTGGCCCGCTCGGAAGGGTTAATGGGCAGGGAGCCGGGCAGCGGGGACGGTAGCGTAAAGGGGCTGAGGAGTTGAGCTGGGGATGGGCTGGCCCAAGGCCCGGAGCAGCAGAGGGAGGGACGTGAGCCTGGGTGGCGCTAGGCCCTGATGTGCAGTGTGCTGTCTCCTCCCCACAGGAGTTCGATGCCCATGGGCGGCAGGTGCCCATCCCCTTTGGCGTCTACAACCTGGATGACCTCAAAGGGTACTGTCGACAGAAGGGCTGGTGCCCCTACTTCCTCGCCCGCTACTCGGTATGTGACAGGCCATCGTGCCCTGCTGGGCCCAACGCTGGGGGGGCTCACTGAACCCGGAGAGCAAACCCCCCCTCCCCGGGCGGGCAGCAGGGCGCGGGGTGGCCCAGCTGGGAGCCCAGTCCAGCACCGCCTGTCCCGGGGAAGGAGCTGTGATGCTGGGTGCGGTTGTGCTCCTGGGGTGGGTGACTCTCCCCTGCTGAGCACAATGCCGGCCTGTCCTCCAGCCCTGGTGGCTCTGGCCTCCTCTGCCCCACTGGCTGAGACCCAGGCTGGATACTCCCGCGCTGGGCCCAGTTCTGCTCCAACGCTGGCACTGACCCATGGACTGGAGCAGGTCTGGCCCAGGGCGAGTGAGATCCAATTCAGGCCCATGGCAGACTTCGGGGGCTTGGCCCAGGCACGCTGCCCGTGGGCACTTGGGTTGGGCAGAGGCTGAAGCTGAGGCAGGCGCTGGTCCCCCAGGGCCATGTGTTCCTGAGGAGTCTGAGCAGGGCCAGGCCTGGGCTGGGCGAGCCCCCAGGGCAAAGCAGGTGGCGACAGCCTCCTCCCTGAGCTTCCCCCCAGGGGGCTCCGGGCGTTCCCTTCGCTCAGTGGCCTAGGCACCCAGAGCTGCCTGTCTTGGCCACAGGGCTGTCCAGTGCCTTGCGGCTGCCCGCTGTGCCAAGGCCAGCCCGTCCCCACTGCTGCTGTGCACAGCCCTGCTGCCGGGCACGGAGCCTCCCTCTCGCCCGGGGGCTGCTGGCCTGTGGCCCTCCAGGGCTCGCCAGGGAGGTGGTATGCCAGCCCGGGGCTGCCTGTCTCTGGGCCCCCGGCGGGATGTGTGTGTTCTGGGCATTAACCATTTCCTTCCTTTGGTCAGATCCTCCACGCCAACATTGTCGTGTACAGTTACCACTACCTACTGGACCCCAAGATCGCAGACCTGGTGTCCAAGGAGCTGGCCAAGAAATCTGTTGTCGTATTTGACGAAGCTCATAACATTGGTAATGGGGGATGGATGGCTGAGCCTTCGCAGGGGGCGGACAGGTGCCCTGGGGGGGGCCTGCCTGCCATGTGTGCCAGGTCCCTGCCTGCCATTCAGTACTAAGGGCCCCTGGTGGGGGCGGCTGAGACCCTTTCGCTGGCGCTGTGGGGCTGCCCCATGCCCGGCTGGCTGGCACCCTGTCCTGACTGGTTATGAATGTGCTGGGTGGCCGATCCCTGCACCAGCCCCCTGGGGAACGACTCCCCACCTGATCCGGGTACGGATCTCTCTCCAGATGGCTGGGCGTGGTATTGCTCCCATTCCCTGTCACGCCCTTTGGGCTCCCAGGGGAGTGGGAGGGCTCGGATCCCTTCCCATCTACCTCCACTTCATCAACCCCTCTGTGCTAACGAGGTGCCCAATTGCTTCTGGTGTCTCCCTGCTCGGGGCTGTGCAGCCCGGTGCCTGTGTTGGTCCGGTTGGATCCAGTGCCCCGGTGTCTGCTCTCCGGCGTCGGAACGTTTCCTGGTTCAGGGCATCCCTGCCTCCTCTGCCAAGTCCCTTGTGTCCTGTTGTGGCTCTGCTCCCGCCATGTGGCTGTCACTCGGGCAGGATGCTGCTCTTGCCTGAGCCAGTGGGACTGCCCCAAGCCCCGTGCCGAGGTGTCCCTGGGCCCCAGCCTGTCATGGCTGCTGTCTCTGGGCCAAGGGGGCCTGTCCCTGCCCCCGCTGGCAGAACTGACCTGTCCTTTCACTCTGCCTGTGGGGCGTCTGCCCAGCCTGGTCCCCTGTCAGGGGAGTCAGAG